TCATGCTCACGTCTCTGACTGTTGAATGGAAGATTAGGTGGGCCACTTTGGACTGTGTCCCTACATCAGTCCTTTCAGTTCCCTCTCAGCCCCAGACCAATCCACTTGGACATTCCAATCTCTGGACGTACCTTTTCATCATTAACCAACTCATGCTTCATTCCTATGGATGTATCATAGTTCATTCAACAAGAATTGAATTCACGGAACACCTACAGTGTGCCACAGGCATCACTGCAGATGATCTGGGGGTAGGTGAGAAGTGAGGACTCAAGGAACCGCGGCTCCAGAGAACAGATGTGGAATGAGAAGGACTTGAGTGTAAGGCTCATTTTGGCCTTGGGTAATTCACTTCATCTTTCTGAGACAAAGATAACTCATCTATCAAATTATACCTCTGTTATGGGCTGAATTGTGTCCCCCCAGTTGTTAAGGTCTCAGTCTTTGGTATCTGAATGGTTGTCAGAGGAGAAAGAGCTGGGAGGCTGACGTGGTTTGACCCAAAGGGGATAGAATTGGTGCATATAGACAGCAGTGCTATATGATAATTATTTATGTGAGTGTTAATTATGTATAGGTGACATTAATATGATATATGCATAAATATATATGCTTAATTGACCTGAAAGAATATCCACTCATTATTCATTCCATCAGTAGATATTTATTGAATGCCTACATGAAGGTACTGTTGTAGATGCTAAGGATACAGCAACAAGCCAAGTCTCTATCCTCATCAAATTTACATTCAAGGGGGTGATGTTCATGACTGTTAAGAATAGAAAGATTCTGAAATGGTATGTGCAGTATGATCCTATTTTAAACATAAATGTGAATATATAAATTTATATTTTATAAAAATGAGATCATGTGCATATAGTTATAAATAAAGAAAAAGTGAGAGAACTAGAGCAACAAATTTGGAAAGATGGTTACAAAACTGTTAACTGGGATTATATTTCAATGCTTGAATTACCTTTTCTCATTTTTTTAATCTGTATTTTCCAAATTTGGGGGTAACAAACTTGTGCTTTTTATATAATATTTGTTTTAAATTTTATTTTATTTCCTAAATTGTAGTTGACATTCAGTATTATTTTATATTTATTTCAGATGTACAGCATAGCAGTTACACATTTATATAATTTACAAAATCATCTTCCCAGTAAGCTTAGTACCCACCTGGCACCATACATTGTTATTACAATACTGGAGGCCTGGTGCACAAATTCTTGGATGGATGGGGTCTGGCTGGCTCACCCCAATCAATTGGGGTGATCAGGGTGGGGTGAGGCCGGCTAGAGGGGGAGGGGCTGAGGGTGGTTTGCCGTCCTCCTCTCCTGGTAGAACTTCTGGTCGAATTTCCACAGGTACAATTTGCATATTAGCCTTGTATTATATAGTATTGACTACATTCCCTGTGCTGTACTTTACATCCCCAGGACTATTTTGTCACTACCATTTTGTACTTTTGAATCCCTTCACCTTTTTCACCCAATCCCCAATGCCTCTGCCATCTGGCAACTATCAGTCTGTTCTCTGTATCTGTGAGTCTGTTTCTCTTTTGTTGCTTTATTTTGTCCGTTAGATTCCACATATAAGTGAAATCCTATGGTATTTGTCTTTCTTTCTCTGACTCATTTCACTTAGCATAGTACCATCTAGGTCCATTCATGTTGCAAATGGTAAGATTTCATTCTTTTTAAAAAATATATATTTTATTGATTTTTTTTTTTTTTTTTTTTTTTTACAGAAAGGAAAGGAGAGGGATAGAGAGTTCGAAACATCAATGAGAGAGAAACATCAATCAGCTGCCTCCTGAACACCCTGAACTGGGGATGTCCCTGCAACCAAGGTACATGCCCTTGACCAGAATCGAACCTGGGACCTTTCAGTCCACAGGCCAATGCTCTATCCACTGAGCCAAACCAGTTTTGGCAAGATTTCATTCTTTTTTATGAATAAGTAATATTCTACTGTATAGGTACCTCCTCTTCTTTATCCCATTGTCTATTGATGGGCATTTGGATTACTTCCATTATTGGCTATTGTCAATAATGTTACAATGAACATAGGAGTGCATATGTCTTTCAAATTTGTATTTTGGATTTCTTTGAAAAAATACCCAGAAGTGAAATTTCTGGGTCATAAGGCAGTTCCATTTTTAATTTTTGGAGGAGATTCCATACTGTTTTCCATAGTGGCTGTACCAATTTGCAATCCCATCAACAAGGTATGAGGGTTTTTTCTCCACATTCTTGCCAACACTTATTGTTTGTTGACTTACTGATAGCCATTATGACATGCTGTTTAATTTGTATTTCTCTGCTGATTAGTGATGTTGATCATCTATGGAAAGATAGATATTGACCATCTGTTTGTCCTCTTTTGATAAATGTTTATTCAGGTGCTCTGCCCATTTTTAAGGGATTGTTTATTTTTATAAATATTGTTTTTAATGGTGCGTGTTATATATGCAATTAAACAACTAAGTGCTAAAAGTTGGAATTTAACAGAAGTTGCAAAGAGCCCTTGCCTACTATCCTTATTCCCACCTCCCAGACAGTGGTCACATTTCTAACCCGAAGGATTCTTTTTGTTATTGTTTTTCACATTTCCACTTGAATGCTTCTGGTGATCAGCTTTTTCCCCCACAGCTGCTCCCATCCCCCTGGTTTATGGTCCATCAGTTTTTGTATTTGAGTAAATGAAATATTTAGCTTGAAGGGAGTGCTTTTCCCAGAGAACATTGTGTCAACTTCTGAAGCTTTGAGCTTTTAAAAGAAAATATGCCCCATAACTGCAAGTGGTTGCTGTTCCTGTTTGTTTTATAGTTCTTAAGTGTGCAGAACATGTTCGAATAAAGCTGGCCAGAAATTAGTTCATGGCTTTTACAATGACAAATAAAGCCCACGGAATTTGGCATTGCCTTGCCAATGTGTGTCTCCGGGTTACTGGAGAGTTTCTGATGTAAAAGCCCTGCCTGGCCTCAAAGAACACAGGCGCTGGGCCCTGACTCCCCAGCCCTGGGACAGAACCCCAGCTGTTGGGCGCATTGGCAGAGCCAGATTCTAGGCTGAGGTTCAGGAAAAGTTTGCTGGTCATGGTATCACTTCTGGCAAATACAGCTTATCCTTTTTCCACCGAGGCCTGTTTGCTGGGCATGACCCGGCTTACCTGCCAAAGCTCCTCAGTGGTGCCCCAGCTTTCCAGAGCGTTCCGCATCTTGGGAATAGACCGGCCTTGGTGGTTTTAATAGAATCATGGTTTAGAGCATAATATTTTCACATTCCTTTTTGTTTGTTTGTTTGTTTGTTTGTTCACTCTGGTTTCTCATCCTGGTTCTTCCTGTCTTTTCTTCTGAATTCAAATGCTGGAAATTTTTAAAACTTTGCAGTGCATGTATTTATTTCACAAATATTTTTTCAGCCCTACTGGTCACTTGTGATTGTGGGCCATCCTGTCACTTTGACTAGAATTAGACAACTTGCCTATGTACCTTTAAAAAAAATTAAGGTCCAGTGGGGGTGGTTTTAATTTGACTGATTTACATGGGTGATGAGCAAAAGAGAATGAGTTATTTAAAAACTGACATGAACATACATTGATATGTTCATGCCGCTAAAAAAAAATTCAAAGTTAAGAAAAAACCCTGATGTCTCATTGAAAAAGCCAGTTATGTTACTGTTTCACTTTGTAATTTAAAATTTTTCAGTTTTCTGCTGAAACCGGTTTGGCTCAGTGGTAGAGCGTCAGTCTGCAGACTGAAAGGTCCCAGGTTCGATTCCGGTCAAGGGCATGTACCTTGGTTGCAGGCACATCCCCGGTAGGGGGTGTGCAAGAGGCAGCTGGTCGATGTTTCTCTCTCATCAACATTTCTAGCTCTCTATCCCTCTCTCCTCCTCTCTGTAAAAAATCAATAAATATATATATTTTTAAAAAGTCACTTAGTAATGCCCGTTAAAAAAAATAAAAAAATTCAGTTTTCTATTGCTGTTAGGATAAGAACATTAAATTGGCCTATCAGATCTGGTCTCAGCCTCTTCTGCAGCTTCAAGCTGCACTTTAACTAGGGCATAATCAATTTCCTTCATTTTCCCCAGGGCAATAAAGTCCTTTACTTCTAACTCTCACATTGTATTTTTCTTCCTGGATCGTTTCACCCATTGCTCTCAGTCTGGGTCACTCCTGCTTCTCGGTCAGGTCTCAGCTCCCAAGTAGCTTCCTCTGGAGAATCTTCCCCAGTCCTCTGGGACTAGGTCAGTGGTCGGCAAACTCATTAGTCAACAGAGCCAAATATCAACAGTACAACGACTGAAATTACTTTTTGAGAGCCAAATTTTTTAAACTTTAACTTCTTCTAACGCCACTTCTTCAAAATAGACTTGCTCAGGCTGTGGTATTTTGTGGAAGAGCCACACTCAAGGGGCCAAAGAGCCGCATGTGGCTCAAGAGCCGCAGTTTGCAGACCACGGGTCTAGGTTAAAGTCCCCTCCTCTGTGTTGTGCCGTCAGAAGAGGTCATTGCCTGTCAACTTCTCTGTGTCCTCCATTAGTCTGTATAATTGCTGAGAGTGGAGACACTGTTTTATGCTACACTTTTATCCCTTGTACCTAGCACAGTGCCTGGTGGGCACATGATAAATGTTCAAAAGTATTTCTTGACTGAATGGATTCACTGTAATAATTTTTTCCAGAGAAGGCATCAGATTTAAAGTGGTTTTTATGAGTCCTGTGCTGCCATTTACTTGGGTGCCTGGATTAGCCAATCAATTCAGATTGAACAATTATTTTCCCTTTATTGATTAAGGTATTACGTATGTGTTCTTATTCCCCGCCCCCCATTGCTCCCCCATCCCACTCCCATTTATGTCCTCACCCCATGTGTCTGTGTCTATTGGTTATGCTTATAAGATTGAATAATTATTGAACATCATTCTGTGTCGTTGCTTCCACCTACACTATTTCATTGATCTTCTCCTTGCCTTTCTGTTTTACAGTGGAGGACACTCAGGCTTAGCGAAAACTTCATCATGGCACCTGATGGTGAACAGAAAAAACCCTCGGCTTCGGAGACCTAACTCATTACTCTTGGCCCAGTATCAGGATGCTGCCTCTTTAAATTTTTGACATTTACTATGCTTTTTTGCTGCAACCATCTGGTAGGCCATTGCATTAGAACCTAAGAAGCCTTGAATTAACTCTATAAAAAGTACAGCTTAGACAGAAATCAAACTGGAATCCTAAAGGAGAATGGGGGAGAGGGGAGGAAGCACTGGCCTATGGTTCCAGACACCTGGGCTCTCTCCTTACCTTCGTTGCTAACTAGCTGTGTGACATTGGGCATATCACTCAGTCTTTCTGGTCCTTAACTTTCTCATCGACGCAATGACCAGGAGTGACTGCATAATTTTAGGAGCCCTCCAGCTTGAAATACTACCATCTTAACCTTGAAAGCTGGTGTGAGGCAGCAGACATGCACATGATGAGCGCGGAACGTACCAGCAAGTCTACCCAAAAGAGTTCACCCCTCAGGGGCTTTCCTGAAACTGCCTTCTGAGGTAAGAAATAAAGAGAATAAACAATTACCATACCAGGTAACAAAATAATAACCACGAGTCATGGGGGGAGTTGAATGAAAAGAATGAATCACTGGCAATAGGCCAGCTGATCATTATCTGTCATGACTGGCTTTGAATAAACCAGAATAAATGCTGGCCGTCTTCTGCACACCTTCCAGCATTCACAGAACAGGCTTCTTCTAACCCACACTTTTATGAAAACGGTTTATAGCTCTGTGCCCCTTGAAACTGTCTATGTATTTAAGCAATTAGCAATCAACTTCACATCACATTGCTGCACAAGCAAATCTGAAATGCAGAAATGCAAATTGTAGGGAATGAAAATAGATTTTAAGTTGTTTGCATGAAAGTTGATTTCCATGAACAATGAAAACTTATCACATTTGCAATGATTTTTTAGAGGTGCTGAAGTAAATAAAGTAATTATATTACCCACGTGTGAACTTAGTAAAAGGACAGGTAAACTGTCATTCTGAATTTTAGAAAAGCTTATTTTGGCTTTAATGTAGCAGAAAACAGCAGAGTAAATTTAAAATATATGTAACTTTAAAACTTTGAAGTTATCATGAATGTATATCAATAAGTAAGTTAAAACTCCCATTAAAAAATTAAAATTGTGGAGAGGGAAACAGAAAAGAAATTAAGATTAACAAGAGATTTGAACTTGAGGGTTCATCTGCATTAAAACAGCAGCCACAACCAAAATGATAGAAAGTTAAATGGAATATATTTACTTCTCCTGTATTCTCTGATTTATGTAATTTTGAAACTACATTTAAAAATTAGGAAATCATTTTTTTCCTGTCACAAGCTGTCAATTTAGGCAAGTCACTTTATCTCCTTGGAGAAAAATTTTGCTGTGCATGGAGCTAACATTTCATAAAAACTGTTAAACCATAGAAACTTCAGGAAAATGCCAAAATGTCCTGGAAGGCATGATACCACAGATTACAGCCTTATTACAAGTTAAATAAATTCTGGAAGTGGGTGTCTACTCTTCTTGGGAAAAATGATAAATGATGTATTTTGCTTTTATACTGAATCAACTTTCTGTCTTCAAATGGGATTTCCACTAAAACACACACACACATACACACACACACACACACACACACACACACGCCTGATCATTGACATTGTGGTATAGTCATGTAAAAGCCAGACCCCACAGATCATAGGTGGGAAAATTCCTGAGATTCTTAACCTGTGTGGCAAAAGGTAGAATATACTCCATTAAAAGCCAGATTTAGAATTGAAAGATTTATGTTGAGCAGGATTTTTGAAGCATTGCAACACCTCATGGAAAATGGAACTCTTCTTTCATAGGAATGCTGCACATTTTTGAGAAGTTAATTACAAACCGAATTGCTTTCTCGTTGACCAACAAATGAAGAACACCCTAGAGATTTATGGCACCTTTTTCAAAAGAATGTATTTCACTCCGGTGAGAAATTCTATTTTTCTTGTTCATAAAATTTCTAATTTGATTTGTCTCAGTAAAAATTAAAAATGTATATCACTGGTGGATCATAGAGAATGTTTATTTCATCGGTTGAAACTCAGAGAGAAGCAAGGAATGAGGTAAGCTTCCATGTTAAATGGTGATTTTGAAACCAATTGCATTTCAAAACAACTGAAACCACAACAATGTTGATTTAGGGAGCAGAGCTCATTCTATTTTATTTTTTATAATTTATGAGTTTAATTTTAGTTTGCAGAAGCATAGTTTATTAAATTGAAAGTTTGAGATATATTAGGAAGAAAAAGGAAGGGTCTTTCTCATTGTTTTCATCAGACTATTGAACATTAAAAGATAAGTAACCTGTAAAATAAATAACCTTAACTAAATATCCCTCATCAATTTATTCTGTCCATGAAATTAATCCTTCTGCTGCTGGATTTTGGTACAGCAGTCTGCATCCTTAAATTCATCTGCTTTTGAACTATAGTAAAAAGATTCCTGAAACTCCCTTCTCAATCTCATGGTACCATCTCACAATTGGCTAAGCATTGTGAAACCCATACTCAGGAATTTCTCCTCCTTGAAACATCAGTAGTTACAAGTAGTTTGTAGAATCTTCTGCATGAGACTCTGAGATTGTCCTTTGCTGAACATAAAAAAAAAGTCTGTAGGCCTTCAAATAAGCACCAGAGGAAAGCAGAAAATATTTGTGGATAAATTTAAATTATTCATGGCTTGCTGAAACCAGTTTGGTTCAGTGGATAGAGCATTGGCCTGTGGACTGAAAGGTCCCAGGTTCGATTACAGTCAAGGGCATATACCTTGGTTGCAGGTGCATCCCTAGAAGGGGGTGTGCAGGAGGCAGCTGATCAATGTTTCTCTCTCATTGCTGTTTCTAGTTCTCTATTCCTCTCCCTTCCTCTCTGTAAAAAATTCAATAAAATATTTAAAAAAATTTAAATAAATTATTCATGGCTGTGTTTTCATGTTGAGCTATAAGGAGCTTGAACCAGATATTCCAGAGTGAACTCTGTAGAATTCCAGGATGAGCTACAAGAGTCAGGTGACACAGCTGAAGCAGGAGGGAAAGGTGATGAGCAATCCTATATAATAAAACCCTAATATGCAAATTGACTGAACAGCAGAATGACTGGTGGCTATGATGTCCACTGTCAACCAGGGGGCAGATGCTCAACACAGAAGCTTCCCCCTGTTGGTCAGTGTGCTCCCACAAGGGGAGTGCCCCTCAGCCAGAAGCTGGGTTCAGGGCTGGCGAGCGCAGTGCTGTGGCAGGAGCCTCTCCCGCCTCTGCAGCAGCACTAAGGACCCATTGGGGATGTCTGCCTGCCAGATTAGGCCCATTCTCCAGTGCAGACCAGGCTGAGGGCCACCCCCCTCCCCCACACCCCTAGTGCACAAATGCAAGAGAGAATGGTGCTGAGCTGTGTAGCTCAGAGAAAAGAATAGGGCTTATGAGGATTTGTGGATAATACATAATGATGGTAAGGCTAATAAACACATCAGTGGGAAAGGCATAACAAACTTGACTGTGACTATTGAGGGATACATTTGACTTTTCATCAAACATGGATTCCTAAAAAGTCCTGTGAAAATCTCATTGTCATAAAATAAAAATATATTTACTAGTTAGCTATTTAAAGAAAATATATGCCTCTATAAGCCAAGGGAAAATGGCACTTTTATAATACTAATATCAATACCCTAACTTCTTTGAAAATTCAATGTTTTTGTTTATATTGAGTTTTGTTTTGTTTTGTTTTTTGGTTTTGTTTTTTTTTTAAGCAATGGATTCAGTTGAGAGAGAGATACACATTATTTTAGCTTTGGGTATGGCATCTAAAAAGGACAGAATGATATGGCTAGTGTTGCTCAGTGGTTGATCGTTGACCTATGAACCAGGAGGTCACAGTTAGAATTTAGGTCAGAGCACATGCCGGATTGTGGGCTGGATCCCCAGGGGAGGACATGCAGGAGGCAGCGGATCAATGATTCTCTCTCAGCATTGATGTTTCTATCTCTCTCTCTCCTTTCCTCTCTCTGAAATCAATAATAATAATAAAATAAACTTTTTTTTTTAAAGACAATGTTTCCAACTGAAAGAGGCTCTTTCAATTATCTCATTCAACTTCATTCTCCTGATGAGAAAACTGAAGCTTAAATGCTTCCCTCAAGATCAACTAGGAGTTCACTGAGAGTTAACCAAATGTTAAGAGATTTGTTTAGGGTCCTTTGCTGGCTGGCTAAAAGAATGAGAGCTAGACCCCAGAAGTCCTGTGTCCCCTTCAGGCCTAATTCTCTACATCACACTTGAATTGGGTAGGTTGTTCAAAGAAGGAGACAGAGCCACAGTGCAGCTGCACACTTTTGTCCTTGGGGTCCCTTTCCAGCTTTCACATTCTATGATTCTATGTCATCAGTGCATCTCATTTTTTAAGACCTATACCTAGAAAAATTCATTGTAAAATCAGGGACTGCTAAAAGAAGGAAGAAAGGAAAAGAAAAGGAAAGGAAAAGAAAAGGAAAGGAAAGGAAAGAAAAGGAAAGGAAAGGAAAGGAAATTAAAGGAAAGGAAAGGAAAGGAAAGGAAAGGAAAGGAAAGGAAAGGAAAGGAAATTAAAGAGAAGAAAGGACAAGAGAAGGGGAGGAGAGAGAAGGGAAAGAAAAGGGAGGGGAAGAGAGAGGTAGGGAGGAAAGGGGAGGAGAGGGGAAGGGAAAGATCTATTATATTAGCTCCCAAATGTCCAGGGAATATAGTAATATATCTTATAGATGGAGAAAGATAATATGAAAAGAATAAATTTATCTTCCAGAAAGCAATAAAGCTTTAAAAAATACCAGCCCAGTTTCCCTTCTGTTCCCAGAATTTATCAAATATAGCACCTTAAATTGGTCCAGGTTTCACAGATACCCGAAGACCACACTGTGATGTTTTTGGAGATGCCATACATTTCCCAAACCAAGTCACTTCGCTCCAGCTTTTCTTCTGTGCACACCATTTAACTTAGTTCCTGTCATTTCTTCTTGGAGGTCCTGCATGTATCTGTAGTGCCATAAATGAGCTCTTTATTTTCAACTGCAGAAAATGGATTATGTGAGAATTGGAGGGAGGGAAAGGGAAAGAGAGAGGGGGGGAGGGAGGGAAGGAGAGAGAAAGAGAATGAACACCATTCTCAAGCACCCACTTTTCTATTCTCTGCAAACCACCAGAGATGATCCACTTATTAAGGACTCTACTTTTAATTTCAGGATTTGAAAAATACTTTATTTCTAAGTAGCAGCCTTACATCACCTATTTCTTATTTTGATATCTTTTTAGCACATTTCTTGCTAAAAATATTTTAGATCATTATGCATTCATATGAAGCGTTTAATGTAGCAATACTTTTAGTTGGATAACCCAAAGAATAGGTATGATCTGCAAGAGATATTAGAATTTCTGGGGAGGTTTCCTCATTTTACAGATGAGAAAACTGAAGCCTAACCCAGGCATATTAGAAGAGGGATGTCCAAGCATCGCCTCAGCTGCCAATCTGTAAAGAATCCTAACATGTTGCTAGGATAAATGAGAGATCAGAGCTAGATAACTCAGATTTTCATATAGAACTAACAGTCTTCTAAAACATCTAAAACATCTGAAGACTGCGTGGTGTAGTATGTTAACCAAGAGTATGCAATTTATTTTTATTATCTGAATTTTAATTTCCTCAACATGCCTCCAAGCACACTAATTTTTAAGGTCACAAAGAAAAGAAGAGAAATATATAAGAATGGGTGATGTAGTCTTAGAGTTTTTAAAAACATTGATACTATTTTGGCCAATAGAAAAATATATGTTACTTAAATTTATTTGTGAAAATAAACACTTTAAAATTCAAATTATCTCTGTTCCTACAAAATAATAAGAGAAAAAATAATGGTTGCTGGGATGCCAAAGCATTTGCTCATTTCAGATACTGCAATTTTTAAGAGAGGCAGACTTTACCAAGATCATGGAGCCATGGCAACGTTCCTATCAGTGGATATAATTCAACAAATATTGATGCTGTGCCTGTGCCAGAAGGCTGGGACTATAGAAAATGAAATAGTAATCCAGTCCCTTCCCCCAGAAGCTGACATTCTAATCATGAGAAAGAACATATGTTTGCAGACATAAACAGTACCCCAACTAGCTTGCTGAGCCAGCTGGAGGTCCCTGGGAACATGGGGTGTGGAAAGCCTGTATCCACTCATGGAAACTGAAAGCCTTCACGGAGGAGGACACATCTGGACTGGTAACTGAGGGGTGAGCAGGAATTTGCCAAGTGGAAGAAGGCAGGAGAGGGGAACCAAGAAATCACCTGGTCACCGGCAGCATCAGCCTATGCAACAATAGCCTAGAAGTCTGGGGGAATTATTTTGGCAAAAATGTTAAGCTAAAACATTAATGTTGTTCTTAAAAAGCATCAGCAAAAAAGTGGGGCGGCTGTAACGATGCACCCCCAGATCCCTGGATGTACAGGCTCTTCCTCTGACTCCTGAGAGCAATGCCAAGATGGCCCTGGGCTGTCAGGCTCTTCCAGGAAGACTCATCTGAAGAGTGTCCTCATCTATGATCTCCTCTGCTCTCTGGGCACGTCCAAGGACTGGTCAAGGTGGAGGTGCCCCAACCTGACATAGTGCTGAAGGGCTCCCTCCTACTTCAGAGCTCCCCAAGGGACTGGCTCGGCCCATCTGCACCACAGTCCACTCCCCACCCCCACTCCCAAATCTTGCTTCCATCTTTTTCTCTCCACAATTACCCTTCATACTCTTCCTGCATGCTAACCTCCATCTCAGGAGACAGGAGTGAGGGATGACTAAGTGTTATAATGTCACATTTCAACAAGCAAGAGCCACCCTTCTTACACTCCCTGAGGGTTTTGGGAATGAGAAACCAGATCGGTCACCAGCCTGTGGCTATCACGTTCGAACTTTCCTCTTGTCTTAGAACAACCCTGCCCTTTAGGTCCCCTTTTCGACAGTCTCCAAACCTTTCTCCCATTCCTGCTTTTGAGGTTCTAGGGGTTTC